CCCCAGGAATTTCTTGGACTTTTGTTTTGGAGACATCTCTTCTGCTGTGACAAAAGGGTCCAAGGAGACAGCTGCAGAAGACACATAATGTATGTTGAGGGCTCTTCCCCCATCCATGTGGCTTGGACAGAAAAATGCTGTAACCATTAGGAAAATATGAACAACAGCTAAAATAATGTAAACTCTGCATAGCACAGTTTGTTTATTTATTTATTTATTTTGTGGTTTTAAAAGAAAACCAAGAAACTGGATTCAGTGACATTGTAGCAAAGAAACAAATTCTGAAGACTTATACTGAATACTCTGAAAGACGTAAAAAAGAGATGGTAGTAATGAAGTCCAGTTCTTTCCTAGAGAAACTTCATAATGACTAATATCTATGGGCTGAAAGGATGCTCAGCCAAGTTAACATCCTTGAGTGCCACGGCTGCCCCCAAAGCAGGCAGAGTTCAGGAAACATCAACACTGGAACTCTGCAAGGCAGATATAGTTCATCCATAGATTATTGTGTAAACATGAAAACTGTCTTTTCCTGGTTCAAAAGCCAACCAAGAATCTATACAGTTTTATTTATTTGCTGTAGTCACACTGAACTGGAAAAAAAATTAAGTTGTTATTCTTGGACAAATGCTTTACATATCCCTCTTACTATCAGTGAGAAAAAAAATCGAATTAGTGGAATTTATTTTAGCTCACTTGCTGATAGAGATGACATTTTGAGAGTATCTTTGTGGTTCAAGAATATTCCCATATTGAGTTACTATAAATTATTTTTTTCAAACGCCATGTTTGTTGCAGTTAGCAGAGATTGAAGAATCAAGAATACTATTTATGAAAGTATTAATGCTTCAAGTTGATGCTAATATATCATCATTAACAGATATTTGACAAAAAATGCTGGCCTGCACAATATACATTAAGAATACAACTAATAATAAATGCCGGCAAGGAGGTAGGGAAAATGTACACTCATGTATTGTTAGTGAGACAGCAAATTAGTACAATGACTTTGGAAAGCATTGTGGAAATTCCTCAAAAGACTAGGAATGGAACTACCATATGACTCTACTATTCCACTCGTTGGTATTTATCCAAAAGAACTAAAATCACCAAATTATAGTGAACATGCGTTCCAATGTTTGTAGCCTAGGAACTTGTCAAGAGATAAAGGATAAAGAAAATATGATGCATATATATATATATATATATATGTGTGTGTGTGTGTGTGTGTGTGTGTGTGTGTGTAATGTATATATAATATATACATTGTAATGTATATTTATAATATATATTATATTATAATTATAATACATGTATTATATAATATACATTATTTAGTATATACACATTATATGATATATAATGTATATACATTACATATAATATAATATATATACATTCCACACATAACTCAACCATAAAAGACAATGAAATTATGGCCTTTACTAGTAAATGGGTAGAACTAAAGAAGATCTTGCTAAGTGGAATAATCCAGACTCAGAAAGTCAAAAGTCAGATGTTTTCTCTCATGTGAGAAAGCTGTAGTAAAATAGGGGAGCAAGGAGAGAGGAATAGAAGGGAGATCGCTGTAGTAAAGAGGGGGAAAGAAGAGATACAGTCGAAGAGAGGGATTACAAAATGAAATTGACTAAATTATGCAATGTACATATATAATTAAACCATGGTGATTTCATCTAAAGCACTAATAAAAACAATAAATGAATAGCAGATCAGTAGAGGAAGTACAACAGAGGGAGAGTGATGGGGAAGGAAAGTAGCAGAACTGCAGATTAAATGGAGCAAATTATATTCCATGCATGTATGACGATGTCAAAATGAATTCCACTATTATGCGTAAGTATAATGCACTAGTAAAAACATTTTTAAAAATTCTGGACTACAGAGGTGTTTGGAAATATACCTAAAAGGGAAGATTTTGAAAGATTTTTGTGTCAATAATACGAAACTGTTAAATCTTATTATAGAGGCCACACTTTTATAGTCCCAAAGAATAAATAAATTAAAGAAAGCAGACAACACAAAAATGCTGAATTTTTACACTGATACACATCCAGTCGGTCCTGGAGAGACAGGAGATGGAGACGTCATTGAAATGATAATAAATAATGGGTAAATATGAGGATGAACTTTGAAGACAATGACATTGCAGACACAAGTGAAAACTCTGGTGACAACATGTAGTGCAGCCATCAGTTGAGCTGGATGACAATTGTGGCAAACGGAAAGACAACTATTTTATTCTGTGCTTCTGGTGGACTGTCAGAGTGAGTTATTCATAAGCAGCTAAAGAACTTAACTAATTGTCGAGAGAAAAAAATTGCATCAATGATGATAAAGAGAACATTAAAAATATGTTGACAGAAATGTCTAACATACATAGGTAACCCAAGCCAACGAGTCAACTCTTTCAGGTTCCTTTAGCTAAATGATGGTCATAGATACATTAATAGGAACTTCTTAAAACTGGTACTTTAGGGATGATTATTTGTTGTCAGAAAGATGGATTAAGAATACTTGCCTTTGAATATGTTCAGGTAAAATCATCTCTGCCATCTGTAAACCTGTTCTTGTAATTTTCAAGAATTTGAGCAAATTTAAAAGTCTTCCTAACTTACGTTTTAGACTTATCATTGGGCTCCACCAGGAGTTCATCTCCTTATGTGTGGGGTGTCCCTTTCTTGGACAAAGATAATTTGTTGCCCTTGTACTTTTTTTTAACAGCAGAATGATTGTCTGTTATCTAGGACATATGGTCCTGCCTTTTGAGCAGCACCTTCAACACTGACATTTCATGCCCAAGGAGAAAAGTCCAAGGAACAATTTGCAGCAGCTTTGCTTGCTAAAGCTCCTTTAAAACATGTAATATTTTGGGGCTGGGGATGTGGCTCAAGTAGTAGTGCGCTCGCCTGGCATGTGTGCGGCCCAGGTTCGATCTTCAGCACCACATACGAACAAAGATGTTGTGAACGCCGAAAACTAAAAAAAAAAAAAAAAAAATTAAAATATTCTCTCTCTCTCTCTCTCTCTTAAAAAAAACATGTAATATTTTACCTTGCATCTAAGTGACACATTAACTAAGTATACTTAAAACTCTACCTTTGGGTTAAGTTAGAGGAAGAAGAATTTTATATTGCCTTAAGGATCATGACAATGTCTGGATATAGAATATATTGTTCTGCATTTCACATTTTAAAAAAGAATCCATGACTCTGTTGCAGAATTATGGCAAATGCTTAGTGAGTTACGTTATGGAATATAATTGATATAAAGTCAATACTACAAATTTGAGCAAAATGTCTACTTCTCTTGGCAAGTGGGGTTGTGTTTTCTTCCATCTTCCATTTTAAATGATTTAATTCTTTCTGACATGATTTGAGAATAAAATTGAGTGTTCAACTTTGATAACTAATTTATCTAAATGTCAGGTACTTTTATTTCTCCTTTGAACTTTAGATGGAAAGTAAATTTTTTGTGTGTGTTTTTTTCTTTTTTTGTGTGTGTTTGTGCGTGTGTGTGTGTGTGTGTGTGTGTGTGTGTGTTTGTGTGTGTATTTAACCTAATAAATTTGTAGCAACATCTAGGATACTATGTTTAGAAGGATTTGAGGCCATGTTAGGTAACAGGCTAGGCACAACTTTAGGGTATGTGAACCGTAGCTGAGTGAAGACTAAGTGTTGTTCTTGATGCTGTAAACATGTGGGCTTGTGTCCAAAATAATTTTTGATATGTTCTTTTTAAAAATTTCACTATTCATTTAATTGTCTTACTTTATGTATGTCAATGTTTTTTTTAATAACATAGTTGTATGCAAGTTCATTCTTCCTCTAACATAGAAAAAAATCCAGTAAGCAGAAACCTGTTTTCTCCACAAAGACATCAAATTATTCTTGTTCTTCTACCTGTTTCCATGAAGAATTCTAGCCAGAGTTTTGACTTAATTCTGTTCAGGCAATTCCAGAGTTTTTCAGACCAGTTCTTCTTTGTAGGAAGTTTGAAAGATTTCTTTGGCTGTCCTAAATTCATGAGAAGTGTTCTGATTTTCTGCTTAAACTCTGCTGGGTTTCACTCTGGGGTATTTTAGAATATGTAAGACTGCACAAAGAAACTGATTTATCTTTTCTGCTTATACCATTTCCCAATATACCACATTTGTCTTTTTAAAGGTCAGGCATGAGCGAAACAGGCAATGTTTCTCACTTACCTTGTTTTCTTACTTGTTGGATTTTCGTGTCTGAGTTCTTTGGAAAATGTTAATGTGAATTTCTATAAATGCAACTGCTCAATTGCGGACTATGATTTATAAAGAGTTCTAGAATCATGGAATACAAAAAATTCACCATACCCAAGATATTATTCATATTCGTAATATCAGCAAGAGCCATCTCTTTTTTAATTAGTGATTTCTACCAGTTGTCTCAGAAATGGCCTTAATTCTAAGGTCAAATGTAGTGTATTATAATTTTCTAGAACCTCAACTGGACTCTTTTTAAAAATTATATTTAAATTTGCATCTCTCTAGGATCTTTGTATCTTTTCTTTCTCAAGAGGGCTATTAAAAATCTCTATTATTGGAATAGTAATCTCCACAAAGTAGCAGCACGAATAACCAGCTGTGATTAGAACAGCCAAACTTCAGGGGGAAAAATTGCCACTTTCATCTAATTAAGAGAGAGGAGAGTCTCCTTCCCCTCCAAAATACAACTTCTCATAATAACTGTGTTAGTGTAGTGGTTAATGAAAGTACATAATTGCTAACAATAATTATTTTGAAACAGTCATTCTGGGAATAGCCAGAGTCTCTGTGAATGAGGTAAACATTAAGTAGCCAAGAGTATGTTTGAATGGAGGGTATGGATAAGAAAAGGAGTTGGGGCCAAATATCACATAGAAAGATTCTGATTCCCTTATAGAATATCTAAGTATATTCAAAGACATAAATAACGACAAGAAAGATAATATCAGATTTCTGAACATTTCAGTGGTGGTTTATGAAATTCACATACACACTGGCACAAAGCCGGGGGCAGAAACAGAGTCTAATGTATTTATCAACCTCTTCGGCACCAGAGGAGATTCAGGGAATCGAAAGCTTCATCAATCTCAAAGCAACAAAACCAACTTTCAGCGTGGACAGGTAATGGAAAGATCTTCATGAATTGTCTTATCTACTATTCTTCCTCTAATTTCTTTCACTAAAAAAGTAGACACAAATTTCCTGTGATACTCATTTGGCACCTCTTAGGAGTTACAAGGGGGTCATTTCTTAGGGTTCATGTTGTTGTTCTGAAGTTGTGTGGACATGCACTTTACTGGGGACAATGCAATTGTAAGTGAGCCTGGCTTTTGTCTAGTGAAAAGCAAAGCAAAACAAAACACAACAAAGTCCCCAAGATTCTACTTTCAGATAGGGAAGACTCGCTTGTAGCCAAGTGAGCATCCTGCTGAGAACACCTAGACACATTTGACAAAACATCTTTCAGGTGAGTTTGCAACGCATTGGAGAGCTATTGGGCAATTAGAGCTTGAGGGTCCAGGATTCTGAAGAGAACGGAGTGCAGATGAGAAGCTGGTAGTGGCAGAGCCTTCCACCATTTGTCCACAGATTCCTAGAAACAAGAAGCCAACAAGAAGGTAGCAGTGAGGTTTGAGATACTGTGCAGAGGTTTATGAGGACTCATGGGGCTTGGATTCTGCCCCAACAGTGAATAGAGGTCCTCATCAACCCACACCTGAAAAGCGAAGAGCTTCATGTGTGCTCTCTCAAAGCAGAGCCAGGACACCTGTCATCAGGGGAGGTGACACTAAGACGCAGCAGAGAAAGAATGACAGCATGAGGAAGAGAAAGAGAAGACCAATATAAGCATACATCCTAGGGGCTGCTGCTGTTGGCAGCAGGGTCTGGATCCCTCCATGACCTCAGTTAACAAATTGGGCACCATCGCATCAGTGACTGGAGTCATTGTGGGAGAGAGAGTCATTGTGGGGGCCATTCACAGAGAGCCTCGTGCCCGGTTGCCATAGCTACTCAGTCCATGGGACCATTGCCCAACAGGCACTGTTGGGCATGGCCAAGTCAAGACCTCTATGTGAAAAAATAAAATACTGCTAAAAAAATGTAAAAAAGACATAAATTAATAGAGATATTATTAAAAATGAATTCCTGGATAAGAAGACTCAATATTAGAAAGTACTCACTTTTCTTTAATGGATCTGCAGTTTTAATGCGAAACCAATCGAAATTGCAGGAAGATTATTTTAAGTTGAAATTGGCAATCTAATTCTAAAATATATGTGGAAATGCAAAGAGTCAAATGCTCTCAAAATAACCTTGATGAAAAAAAGAATTGGAGCACTTACAGTACCAGGTATCAAAACTTATTATACAGTTAAAGTAATTAAGATAGTGTCAGTTTGCACAGAGGAAAAAAAATAGAGCAAAGAAACAGTCCAGCAACAGTTCCCACATCCTGATGTGCAGCATCAAGGAAAGGATTGTCTTCTCAATAAATATTTATAGTAACTTGGATATCATTAAAGAAAAAAAAAGAAATGATGACCCCTTTTCTATACTAAATCCCTAAATCAGTTCATTACAAAATTAGTTCTAAATGTAAAAGGTAAAATAATAAAATGTCTAGAAGATAATAGAAAAAAAAATCTTCATGGTTTGTGGATAGACTAAGATTTTAAAAGTTTTTGTGGTAAAATACACATAACAAAATTTATCATCATAACCATTTTTTAAAGTTTGAAAAAAATCATTATATGCTTTTGTTATTTACATGCTGATATGAAGTATATATGTACATTTTAATGGTATCAACAACATTTATATTGTTGTGCAGTTTATCACTATTGTTCATCTCCCAAACTCTTTTTTTTAATCTTACAAAACTTGAACTCTGTACCTATCCAATAACAACCTCATTCTTCCTTTTTCCAGCCCTTGACAACCTCTATTCTACCCTCTGCCTCTATGAACTTGACCAGATGTCTAATATAAGTGAAATTATACATTTGTCTCTTTTGCAGCTAATTTCACTGAGAATAATGTCCCTTATATTTGTGCACATGGTAAAATGAGACAGAATTTTCCCCCTTTTTATTTTATTTTAATTTTTTAGTTGTAGGTGGACACAAAGCCTTTATTTTTATTCCTTTTTTTTATGTGGTGCTGAGGATTGAACCCAGTGCCTCATCCATACTAGGCGAGCGCTCTACCACTGAGCCCCAGCCCCAGCCCCATTTTTCCCCCTTTTTAAGGCTGAGTAATATTCATCTTGTGTATATACATCTTGTTCACATGCTCATCCTTCAGTAGACATGTGGGTTGCTTCCACCTTTTTGGCTGTTGTGAATAATGCTGCTATGAATATGGGTGGACAATTGCAGACTAAGATTTTAAAGATAGAAACAAGTGCTAAACATAAAGGGGAAAAGAGACCAATTATGCTATTTTAAAATTAAAGACTTCTGTTCTTCAATAAGCTGTCAAGAGAGTAAAAAGGCTAGTCACATAGAGGAAGACACTGTAGAATATGTACTGGCAAAAGACTTGTTTTAGACTATATACAGAATACCCACAGATCAACAAGAAGACAGATAACCCAATTTAAAACATGGGCATGACATTCGACCATGTACTGTACAGAAGAGGCTATCCAAATCAGCTAAGAAATAAGAAATCTAAACTTGAAAAGAATGACAATAACAAGTTTTGTAGCCCATAGAGCACTATAAATTTCCACATGCTGCACATACAGAGTATATGTTTGCATAAGCTTTTTAGAAAACTGAGACTATCCATGAAAATGGAGTATAGGAATCTTCTGTTCCTCAACAGAAATGAAAGCAAATATGAGATGATATATTTATGAACACTATGCAATGTATTATTCTAGGAACAGTATTGTCCATAAATAGCAAAACAAATAGATAATTTAAGATAATATTTAATAATGAAAATAAATAAAATGCTATTGGACAAAACAGCTGGATGAATTTTACACACATTGAATGAAACAAGGAAGTCAGAAGGTGAACACACTGTATCATTCCATGTACAATGTTTTCAGACCAGGTGAAACTAATGAGGTATGTCAAAAAATGGGATATTGGATACTGTTTGGGTACACATGTGTGGGAAGGGGCATCGCCACGGTCAGAGGATGCAGCTAATGCTCTGCTACTCATGGAGGGGAGGAGATGTGAGATTTCTTTCCTCACCCATCATAAGCGTCATGGCTGCCACAAATGATAGGTGAACAAGACCAAAACATAGCATACTTTTTTAAATTAACATTTTATGTGGCACAGGAACTATAAGTGGAAGATCCAAAGACCCAAGGAAAACAGTCTAATTTTGTTCTCAAATTTAATGACAAATGGACAATTGTTTTGAAATATGATTCATCAACAAGGGTGAGAGCTGATATTAACCAGCGGAAGGGCAAACCTAGGAAGAAAACCAGTCTGTTCAGATGTTCTTGGCCTCTCCATGTAGCATGCCTTTCTCTTTGGTGTGGGGCAGGAACTCTCTAGAAAACTACCATCAAGTGAAGTAGGTCAGAGAATTTCTTTATGGCCAGCCACAGAAAGGTAGGAGGATGTGAGAGTCTGCAAGGTTTATAGCTTGCTTTCAGGGAGAGAAGTTCTAGTTTCCATTACCTGCCTTGTAGAAAAGAAAGTCTGGTTTCTATAACTGACTTGGGGGAGAAGGGCCATGGAGGGACGGGAGGGCAGAAGAACTCATTTCGAGGAATGCTTCTGAGGCCTTTTAATTTCCTTTAGTTCAAAGTGCTCAGCCTGCCAAAGGGCCAGACTTTAGGGTTCTGAGCCCAGACAATTATATGGAATGTTTATTGAGTGTGCATTTGTAATTTGTATACTTTGTGATTATTTTACCATTTATTATAAAATTTCTTATGTATGTCTATGTATACAAACACACACATACATATATACATGTATACATATACATATATATCACAGAAATTATATATATTCTTATTTATATACATATATAAATAAAATTGTATATACATATTTTTTTTTATTTGGTGCTGAGTGCAGTGGTGCACACCTGTAATCCCAGCAGCTCAGGAGTCTAAGGCAGGAGGATCATGAGTTTAAAGTCAGTCTTAGCAATTTAGAGAGGCCCTAAGCAATTTGACAAAAACCTGTCTGTAATAAAATATTTAAAAAAAGGGTTGAGGATGTGGCTTGGTGGTTAATGGCCCCTGGGTTCAATCTCTAGTACCAAAAACAAAACAAAAACAAAAGAAAATCAAAAACAAAAAAAATAAACAAACAAAAAAATATTTCATACACATACACATACATATACATATACTTGCATATATCATTTATTTAAAAACAAAAGATACTGAGAGGCAGAGCAATAATGGTAGGAAGATGCCTTTTGGCAGCAGCCTCCCTGGTCAGAGTCCTGGCTGTATCATTCACTAGCAGCTGATGGGGGATAAGTGCCCTTAATTGTATGTATTAATCTCTCACATTATTGAATAAGAAAGAGGGTAGTATTCACTTCCTGGGTTGTGTTGTTCTGAGGACTAAGTGAGTTAATGTAGGAATAAAACTTTGAAGAGTGAAATATTTTTAATTGACTGTACAATTGAGGACAGAAAGAATCATGTGCTATGTGTTTGTGTGCCTCCCACAACACATAGTGTAGGAGAGACCACTCATGAAAACTACATAATTCTATCATAATGGTAATAATAATAGCACACTGGTAGTGTATAGCAACATGGAATGTAGCAATAGAGTATTGATAATAATAATACCATTTTTTTTTCCTAGAAAGAAAGGAACTATCCCAATGGTCACTGGGTTCATTTTGTTGTTGTTGTTTTGCAGGTTGATATTTTTTCCATTACGGCGGTGTCTCTTGGACAACTGAAGAAATGCCTGATTAGTCATGATGGCATGGGTCCAGGTAAGGTTTGTTTTCTTGGTCAGAAATTGTTTTTGCTAATTTATTAAAAATAATATAAAAGGTCGGTGAAACATATAGGTCATGTAAAACTGAGATTAGAAAATAATTGACTTCTAAAACAGTATACTACAGTAAAGATTTCTCAGGTTAAGCTTATTGTATGACTTACAAAAGCAGACAGTTATGCTATTCTGAGGGAAATTTCCTAAAAGTGAGTGTGTGTGTGTGTGTGTGTGTGTGTGTGTGTGTGTGTGTGTATTTGTGTCTAGAAGCACTGGGCAGTGTTTGAAGATGCATTTCTCCCATGTTCCTCATCCCAAAGCCTTCAACCCTCAGCAAACCGGAAGCTTTGGGATCATCCTTGATCCTTCTTACCCTCCCTGACTTTTACTCTGATATATATGTTATCCAAGTCCTGTCAACTATACTTCATTAATATCTTTTTTACTAACTAACTCCTTAGAACTATTAAAATTACTTTTGTTTGTTTGCCTCTGGAACTATATTTTTTTATTTATTTCTTACATACATGACAATAGTGAAATGCATTATATTTATAATTATCCAGTCACAGCACAATTTTTGGTAATGCTGTATATTAAGTACGTTCATGCCAAATTATGCGGTTATACATGATCTCTCCTTTTTTGCATTACAATTCTTAATACATCTTTATAACACAATTTATCATATCTCTGTTTGCACACAAGGCATGTTGACTACATGTATGAAGATGTGAATTTAGAGCTGTAGTCTTTAAAGCTAAAGTGCAAATACATATGTTAACTTATGTCCCTGCAGCAAAACCATTTATTGTGGTTATTTCTATGCTCCTTTTCCTTTCTGCTAGATTAAGACTTTTGGAGACTGGACTTATTTATCACTTGTCTTTATCCTTGTAGGGCCCTATAGTACAGTGCTTGACAGGATAGATAGTTTAATTAGTGACCATTCTTTGAACGAATGGTTTTAAATAAATGAAATGATTATCTGTAATGCTTTTTTTGAAAAGAACAAGGAAAAATCTAAAATGGCCATCTCAAAAAGAACCATGTTTTTGACAAATGCAAAAAGAATGGAAGCAGAGAGGTGACAGGAGCAGTTAATAGAAAGAAAAGAGACACATAAGTAAATAAGCTCATGATTATATTGGGGAAATTCTTCAAAAGAGGCAGAGGAAAAAAATGAATATAGGAAGGAACAACATAAAATGCTGCCTGTTATATGGGGGGGGGGCTGTTTTAGAGTGGTGTCCCAGCACACTGCAAAGGCATGTCACCTGCAGAGGGTGCCACTGCAGAGTTTCATAGCAGAGGGTGTGACAGCAGAGCATGTCACAGGAGAGGATGTCACTGCAGAGGAGTGTCACTGCAAAGGGTATTATTGTGGAGAGTGTCACTGCAGTGGGTGTCACAGGAGAGGGTGTTAGTGCAGAGAGAGTGACAGGACAGGGTATCACAGGAGAGGGCGTTAATGTAGAGAGTATCACTGCAGAGGGGTGTCACTGCAGAGGTGTCACTGCAAAAGGTATTATTGTGGAGAATGTCACTGCAGAGGGTATCACAGGAGAGGGTGTTATTGCAGAGGGTGTCACAGTAAGGAATATTTCAACAGATGGTGTCACTGCACAGGCACGTCATTGCAGAGGACAACACTGTGGAGGGTGTCACTGCACAGAGGTGTCACTGGAGAATCTATGCCTTTAGGTTATTTTCATAAAGAATGGTAGTGTGCATGGAGATTTCCTGCACTGACCCACATCTCCCCCACATGTAGGGCTAGGACTTGCAGAATGGCTGATCAGAATGAGGCCATGGCTTCAACAGGGATCAGAGCAGAGCAGTTGGCTTAAGCAGAGTCTTGAAAGTGATTCTGAACCTCCCATTGGTGATGAGGGAAGGAAATGATGATAGAAGTCTAACCCACACCCTGTAAAGCCCAAGCTGAGGTGCTGGGCAGACAAGAGCAGGGCAAAAGCTATCCTAGGTGATGGGAGAACAATTAGGGATTTATTTTGAGGGGGTTGGGGAGGGGCTGAATGCTTGAATGAGAAGGCGTTATAATGTTTGATACAAAAAAATGAGAACTACAAAAGGAAAAATGAAGGGAATGCTGTGATTTTAAACATGTTTACAGAACCCAATTACTCACACAGAAAAGGCTTTCGGTAGAGAGAGCAACAAACTTATAAAATATTGATTTTTTTTCTTTCCGTGAAACATTCATTAACAAAAACCTGTTCAGGTGTGGGAAAGACTTCAGCAAATTCTCAAGGCTTTTTTTTTCTCTCGCTTTTCATTTTTTAAAAAGAAGCGATGCACAACATTATTCTTTTTAACATGAATACAGTTTATCTATGGATAAGAGAAATAAAAAGCTTTAGTAAAACACCCAATTTGCAGCAAACTTTGTAACATTTCAGAATATCTAGGAATTACCGGAGTATCGGAAAGCAAGTAAAATAGGCTCCTGGATCCACTCACAGGGATTCTCATCCAGTGGATTCTGAGTAATCAGAAATATGCATGCTTTTCTGTTTGTTTTAATACAAACGCTTGATTGATGTCGGCCATGGACTGGCTTCCAGGGGAAAAGCTCTGGATCAAGAGCTGCTGTATGCCAGGCATTTTGCCAGAGGCTGGACTTATGAAGGTGAACAAGATGCAGGTGGTCTCTGTGCTCATGGGCAGGGCCCAGTGGGGGCAGACACATATGAAATAATTTTATTAAATTATAACAAAGTATGATAAATATTCTGAATGTGACCTTCAGAGTGCTGTATGCCTTAGTTAAGGGGATACACTGAGTCCAGAATATGAAGATTTTTTCATGAAGAGATAGAAGATGGTGAAGGCTGGGGTAAGAGCCAGGTGTTGGCTGGATACTTGGGAATTTTGATGAACATCTATGACTGATAGAATTAAGTTATTTGAAATTCGGAGAAAATTGGAAATAATCATTATAATGTGATTTTGAAATTCTTCAACTAGATTTCCCTTAGACATTCTATTCATTTTTAACTAAAAGAAAAGCATTGCTATAACAGACTGTCTAAGCTATGTTTATTTTTGTTTTTTTTAAATATGTACTATAAAATGTCTCATAATCCATCACCCCCTAACTGAAGCCTACACTATTATCAATACCAGTTATTCTACCTGCATTTGCCTCTCTTACACTTGCCCCCAAGATATCATGTCCAATTTTTTATCATTTCTTGATTTTAAAATATAATCTTGGCTTATGAAAAGGCTTTATGAATAATGTCTTTGTCCTTGAAAATACTTTTGATACCTTTGTGCTTTGTAAAAACAGCTGTGTTGTATGAAGCCTTTCGTGATGATATGTCTTTTAACTCAAGTGTTTGTTTCTGAGATTCACTCATTTTCATGTGTAGTATTTCAGATAATTTATTTTCACATGTATTTAAAATTCTTTTGCGTGGCTACACATAATCTATCTATCCATTTCTTGTTAATGGATAGTTGTGTTGTTCCTCGTTCAATTGTTACGAACACTCTGAAATGGACATTCTTGATATGTCTCTTTGTGCATAGAAGCAAGAGTCCCTCTAGGGTGGTGGCTGCAGCTGGGGATGACTTTGCTGCCCTCTTACCCCAGGGTATTTAGCAATGCCTGAAGATACTTTGGTTGTCACAACTGATAGAAAGTACTACCAGCATATAGTGGATATAGATATGGAATCTTGCTAAATATTCTACAATTCACAGAACAAAAATCACAACAAGAATCATCAAGTCAAAAAATGTCAATAGTGCTCAGGGTGAGAAATCCTGCTGTAGGGTAAAGGTATAGATGTCAGTTGCTAGTTCAAAGGATATGGTCATGTTCAGTTTTAGACATTAAACTACTTGTTTCAAAAATGACAGTACCGAGTTTTCCTCCTATCTATAAGTGTATAGGAATTTATGTTGTATTATATTCTCATCAACATTTTGTACACCTAATTTTTGCCTTTATTTAGTGGGCATCAAGTGGAGTCTCACTGTAGCTTTAATTTGCATTGTACTGATTTCTAGGAAAAGTGAGCATTCTTTTATCATTTTATTGTACATTGAATTTCTTCTACCGTGGAAATATATGCCCTTGTCTGTAATGTCTAAGGTTAAAGCAAAAGTCTTCTAATAAAAAGCAGCCAATCAGGTTTTAAAATAGATAAGATAGAACTTTCCTTCATATTCAGGGAACAGCTCCAAGCTGTGTGTTGTGGTGACTGCTGAGTCATCCATGAGGGACCTGGGTCCTACCAGCCTGTTATTCTTCCAACACTGCATCACATGCTCTTTTGTGTTTGAAGCTGGTCACAGCATGTGAGAAAGAAGAAAAGTCCCTAGGAACAATGTTTTCTAAGCAAGTGAGATGGAAGCTACACTTCTGGCCACATGTCATTACTGATAAATTAGTCACATAGTTCACCTCTACCTGCAAAGACACCTTGGAAATATGGACTTTAACTTTGCAGAGATGTCAAAAGGCAGAGAGCTACTAGCACTGACTGCTGAGCTATCTTGTGCTTATGGTACATTTTGATAACTGAAATTCCTAATTTATTAATGCAATTGAGCTTAACTTGATAGTTTTTTTTTTAAATTTTTTTTCCTTTAATGATGAGCACATTTTGTGTCTTAAGAAAATCTTCATTGTCCTTAGGGTATTCCAGATAGATAGGGGGATAGATAGGTAGATAATATTCACATACATACATTATGTTTAAACATACACATGCATATATTATAAGTCTTGTCTTTAGGACTGAAATATTTACTCCATCTGCAATTAATTTTTGTGTATGATATGAGGGTAAAATCCACTTCAATTTTTTTTTGCTGTATGTATAATCAGTGATACCATCATTGTTAATCAATGACTACATATTTACCCATGTGCTCTACAAAGTCACCTTTATGGTAGACAGGCAGCTCTTCACAGTTTCTGTATGCATAAATTTTAGTTATGATGATTTGAATAATGCAAATCCCCTACCCACACAGTTCAAATTTCAGTTACCATCCTAAACTAACTGTAACTGCATCAAGTACAAATATGTTTCCAGCTTTTCAGTCCACAAGTCATGATGTGAATAACAGATGTACATCCTAATCAGTGACCAATCACATCACTTCTCTCAAAGTCTGTTGGTAATGGGTCACTGCACAGCTGTTATGAGTTCATGCCCAGACAGCAAAGCATGTGCTTGTATTGGCTTCTTGTTCACCAGCAATGAATCCATGTGGGAGTTTATAATAATGTATAATTGAAAGATGAAATTGCAACAAAGAAGTGAAAAAAATAGAAAGAAAAGTGAACACCATGGATGTAAAATTCAAATCTAACATAAACTGAGTTTTAGAAGAAACTTAACAGTCTTAGGGATTTTGACATTGCTGTGATTAGGTAGAAATCACTGAGAGTACTGAACACCATGAATGAGCAAAGCGGTTGTAATAAAAGAATGAAAGTTTTGATAAAAACTTTACATTAAAGGAGTGCTCATAGAATTTTGTGATATAGAAAACATGAAATATAAAATGTTAGAAGCTAATGGCAAATCAATAAAGGAGTTTGGCATTTTTCAAAGGCACAAAAAAGATGTTTACTCTATATTATATATTATTTGACAGAGAGAGAGAAAGAGAGGGGGGGGGAGGAGAGAGGAATATACAATTACTTTTAAGATTTTTTTTTTACCAATAAATAAAATCTTTTAATTTTAATAAATTACTGGATACTAAGTATTAGTGTTACTATTTTTTTTTCATTTTCAAATACAATTTTAGCTAACAGCAAGAGAGTTTTGATGTTTTCACACAAATGTTTAAAAGTCAACTAACAATTGCAACTTTCTCCATTGATAATTAAGATTGCTTAACAATTGCAACTTTCTCATTGATAATTAAGATTGCTTGTTATGGTTTCTGATTGCAGTCTGCTTTATAGTTCCACACTACTCTACAGAGACAGCAAAGTCTATGTGCATCAAGTTTATATATATATATATATATTTTTATATATATATATATATATATATATATGTATGGTATAGGTCAATCATTTTTGTTGTTCCATAGTCAACTTACCTGTGCCAGCATTGATTCTGTATTGCTTTAATTAGTACAGATTTATAATAGATTTGAATAATTAGTAGGGTGAACCCACTACCTTATTCTGATCCAGATGTGCCTCTGATATTCTTAGGCCTTTGTCACCTACATAAATGTGATCATCAGGTTGTTGATTTTCTTGTAGAACATTGTAGCAAACTTGATTTAATTACATTCTCATTTGTTTATAAGAAACAGACATCTCCTCAATGCTACTTCTCAATTTGGGATCGTGCTCTATTTCTTCTTGGTGTTTTGCTGTCATTCCTTAAATGTAGACAATTTTTTTTTCTGTAAATCATACTACAACAGTTTTTACATTTATTCCTCTATTTTTTATGGCAATTTGACAATAACTTTCAATGACTTATTTTTTTTTTAAACTGTTCTTTGCTGGTCAATAGAAATGCACTGGATTTTTATATATGTATTTTGTAGGTAACTGTTTTTCTCATCTCTCTGATTCCAGTGAGTTTCTGTAATTTAGGTAGTAGGGTGAACCCACTACCTAAACCCACTACAGATGTGTGAGTAATCACAGTTCTGTTTCTTTTTTTCCTATCCTCACTTTTCTTTCTTCTCTCTTCCTTCTCTCCTTCATTTTCTCCTCTTCTCCCTCCCATTTTCCCTTTCTTTCTTTAATTTCACTAACAAATGCTGTAACCAATGATAACTTCTGATTTTTCACCCTTTAGAATGATGATTGATTGTGACTTCCTATATTGTATAAACATATCAATCATCTATACCCAAGTATAACTGTATTTATATAAGCACATCTATGTGAATTTAATTCTCACTTTATTTTTAGCTCACATGCATTTAATTTTTTTTTTTTAATTTTATGGAGAGCCTGTGTCCCTGATAGGAAATCTTCTTTTTTTCCTCTGCTTTTACTACACTGAGTAATTAGGTCACTCACTCATGCTTTCATTTCTCTACTGGTATAATTTATATGTGCATATTTCTGAAGCCAAATTGCCTGACAAGTGTACTTTAAAAAGAACATTTGGAGGGTCCATGAATAAAATCACAATGTTAGTACATTTTGTGCTACAGAGTTAAAGTGATCTTCTTTGTCAATTTACACAGGTAATGGATGGTTTCTCAAGAGTATTGTTGTTAAGTCTGAAGAGGAAGATGGCAGTCAGGAGGTGCTGTTTCCATGCAACAGGTGGGCTATTATCATTATGCAAAATTATGCAAAGTGAGGCTCTCCCTGGCCAGTTCATTTCAGCTGTTAGTGTACACCAATTCCTCTCTTAAAACCGAGTCTAAGGTCTTCTCTTCTCAGGAAGCTGCTCCTATGAGCATTAACAGTTCTCTATTTATAATATTCAACATTTTCCTCTTCTGGAATAAGTATGCTGAGATGGAAAGAAAACTCAGCGCAAGAGTTAACAACTAGAATCAACAAATGGGACTTACTCAAACTAAAAAGTTTTTTTCTCAGCAAAAGAAACAATAAGAGAGATAAACAGGGAGCCTACATCCTGGGAACAAATCTTTAATCCACACACTTCAGATAGAGCCCTAATAACCAGA